TGCGCTTTGAGCCAAGGTTGCTTACATATTTCCAACGGGCTGATTGCGTGATAAAGAGGCTGTGCAAAGGCGATGAAGATCGTCAAGAATTACTTAAATGATTTTAAAGTTTATTTTTAAAAATGTTTTATTTATGTTGAAAGTAATTAGCATCGTTAAATGCTAATGGCGATGCAGTGCAGGTTTTTTAATCACAAACAAAAACAAGGTTTTTGGCTTCCAAACTCACTTAAGACTAATTGGCAGACGAATGGGTTAAGCTGTTTCTACACTATTTAACTGGCCAAGAAAGTGTTTTCTTAGGTAACTTTTATTTATTTAATCGCATTGAAAAAAGGGAATTCGAAAAGTAATATCTCGACATGCCTTGCAATGGCTTAAGATTGATTTTTATAACTTAAAAGTTGAACAACGTGTTCAATTTTTTTACACGCCACATTTGTTTTCAACCAAAGTCCATTTTGTAATATCTCACTTATGGTCAAAAGTCGCCTAACTTAACACTTGCTAGTCAACAAATATGTGTATTTACTGCCCTGCCCCACTACCAATTTCTTGGCGCGTGTTGCCAGGCTTTTGGCCCACATCAAGTGTGGCCAAAAAACATATAGGCTGACGGTTTAAAACTATCCATCCGAACAATCGGTTCGGGGCAAGCCACACATAACACTGGCAACACAGTAACACACCCAATTTGGCTTTCGGGCCTTTGACGCTGTCTATTAGCCGGGTTATGAGCAAATTACGGGAGCGCCGCAGCCATAACCAATGCCATGCCCCACAGAAATCCACGGCGGAAAAAGGCTAATTGCACCACAAACACACGTTGCGATTGGTGGTAGAGGTGGTGGTGGTGGTGGTGGTGCTGGTGCCGCACTCTGTGGTTCGGTGGAGCGGCGGCCTACGCAGCCTGCGGCCGTTGTTTAATATGCAACAAATCAACGCGCCAATTGTGGCGTAAAATATTTACATTGCCCCCCGCCGCGGGCTTATTTCGGACCCCAGCCCACTACGCCCCTGTGCCGGCAGCTGTCGGCCTTTAAAGCCCATGAGCTTTGCTATAAAGCTTCCTCTTTTCATATATAGATTGGTAATATTATCTTTAATCTTTTGGTTATATTCATCTTAAACTCTTTTCCTGCCTTTAATCACAATTTTTTCTTTATTCATTTCAAATCTGTCTTAGAAAGTTAACCAGAACTAAAGCAGTAAATCCCTGTACTAATTAGCAGTAAAGTTGGTTTTCTATCGCACTAAAATAATTCAATTCAAATTGATATTGATATACAAGAGCACAATAAGAAACTGAGGCAGGAAAGTAACAACTATTTATACCCTCTATAAACTCCTTATCTCCCCTGGAGTTTGGCCACTTTTCAACGGGTAATCACCTAGCCTGCTACCACTAATCCCGCTGCCCTCTTAACTGTTTGATTTTGTTTATTGCGTTTAATTTGCGCATTGTTTGTGTGCCTTTTGGGGATAATTGCAGGCATCAATTGCAGCAGCAGCAGCAGCAGCAGCAGTAGTAGTAGCGCCCACTCAGACGGACAGCGGGGCAATCAAATTGCCAGTGGACAGCGGCAATCAGATTGCCACAGACACCCACATGTACCACTGAGCCACTGCTGAACCACTGAACCGCTGGAAAAATTTGCAAAAACCACAAACTGTTCCGTTTGGCTTTCATTAAGTTTTCAGCTGTTTTTTTTTTGGGTTTTTCGTTTTGGCAGCTCCATAATCAACGTCTATTTCGAAGTAGCCCCCCTAACACCACCACTAGTATTTGCTTTTGTCTGCTGTTTTATTTTCCGATGCTTCCAATGTATGTTTGCATTTCTCGGCGGTGTTGTGTCGGTGTGTCATTAATCTCCAACATAGAACCAATCAAACAGCAACGCCAAAATGCGAAAACACCGAAATGATGCCCCGCTGTTATTGATGATGTGTTGATTAGGTTCTGACAAACCAATAGCGGTCATGTGAACAACAATCAAAGTACAAAATTTCACTTTGAACTCGAGCCGCTGTTGCTGGCGGCGGGGAGGTGGGGAGCGCACCTAAAACCCCCTGCTGTGTGGGTGGAACTTGGTTGGGCCTATCTGGACGCCACTGCAATCCATGTGTGCGGTCATAGGCAAGATTTGGGTCACGTTTGCCAGCTTATGTTGGCAACAAAAATAAAAAAAAAATCACAAAATAAAGGAACACCCTAAGCCGAAGTCATGCAAACCAGCGTGTGTCTAATGAATTGCCACCCATGTGTGGCTGCAGTCTTGGTTTTCTAACCTTTTTTAAGCATTTTTTAGCAGCGGAAAAGTCTTGGTCAAGATTTGTGGTCGCTGCAGTTACGCCAAAGAGCTGCCACCGGTGCAAGAATAACGCCGGCTGTCTGTCAATTGCTCGATATTTATGGAACATAAATCCAACCTGAAGGGTCATTCGCTAATTGGGGTTTTTCGTTTATGGGGAGAGGCTTTTATGGTCGGCTTGGCTTAGAAATGAGTCAGTCGGTGTCGTATTTCAAACGAAACCTCCATTACAATCTTCCTTCTTACAGCCATTAGCAGATTGCCCGAGCTTTTTTATGCCTTTTCTTCGGTTTTATTTTCCATTGCAGGGGATCGTCAATGGTCTATGGGTAGTTCTTCAAAGGTTAAGTATTTAATTAGCATATGTTTACCTGTTGTTTAATGACATAACTTAGTTTTCTTTTTAATTGCAAAATTTGAACTTCTTAAATAATACCAGTCCGACCTTCCACACGTCAGTGAATCTCAAACCATCACCAACCTTTTATTTCAATGAACTCGCACATAATGACTTCCCCCTAATATACAAATCAAATGCAATTATGTCCGAATTCCAATTTGGGGGGAACTTCCGTAACAGCCCTCGCTGCGGCCAGTGCCCTTCCAACAGCCAGTTAAGTAATAAAAAAACTATAAAAAAAAAACCAAACAAAAACTAACGAAGAAAGATCTTTGCATTTATAATTTCATGCCAGAATTCCTCGATAAATTGATATATATGTGTATATGCTGGTGGTTAACTTCACTGCCTGACTTGCTGCCCGACCATGGCCAGGGCCACGCCCCCTTTCGGCCCACCGAGAGCCCGGCTAATGGCCTGGCCAATTGTCGCAAATTAGTGGAGGCCAGCCCAACACGCACACACACACACACACATTGTGAAGATATACACACAGAGTAGAGTAGAGGGTGAAGAGGGAGAGGGAACATACATGCAAACCCAAACAGGTGAAGTGGAGTCAAGACAAGACAACTGGAGTCAAGACAAACACCTAAAGCCAATCCACATGAGCACCCAACCTAACGGTACTCCGGCAAACAGAAGATGGCCAAGAGGAAGAAGGCTAAGATGCCGGAGACCGAAGACCGGCGATCAGCGACCGAAGACCGGCGACCGGCGACCGGAGAGAAAGAACAGCTATAAAGAAGTTTACTGCTACAATTGGCAAATTGAAAATTACTCGCTGGTGGCAGCAGTGGCGGCGATGGCGGCGGCGTTGGAGTCTTGAGCTGAGAGCTGAAGCTGAAGCCCAAGCCATAGCTGATGTTCAAGTTGAAGTTGACTGGGCCAAGGGGAAGCTTCAGACTGAAAGACCCTGAGCGGGCCTAAAGCTAAGGCTCCACCATCAACCACTACTTTGCTTCAAACTCCACCACATCCCCGGCGATGCGTTCGTCTGGCCAGATAAGCTGACATCCACAACGTGCCACAGACGATGATGCATTTGCCAAGGTACTCGCAACTAGTTGCTGCCCCAGCCGCTGGAGTCGCGCCACGCCAGACATAGACGTTTCAATTTCAAACGAGAAAACTTGCATTAACCGACTTTGGAACTTTGAGATACTCTAATTTGTAAAGAACAAAAAATTAATTAGTTTACAAACGTAGAATTATAAAATTAAAATATAATTTCTTATAATTCTAAAGTCTGAAGTATTAATAAAGCTAACCAATCTCTCATAATCTATCAATCTCAACATTTTACTAGGTGAATGACATTTTATATTAATTTTCAGTTCTTTTTAATGTTATTAGATTTTTAATCCAAGTCTAAGAGGTCCTTTGAAAGGCAAATCAGCCTTAAAAATAAATAGAAAATTTTTTTAAAAAATATTAAGCCTATTTCCTAACTCCTAAATATATATTTTTCCAACTAGATGCACAGATAACTTTTCCATTTTCACGATACCCTTCCCCGCCATAACTGAAAGGTATTCTTAAAAAGCAACAAAACGGTTTTGGCCGGGCCAATCTGGCAGGCAGACATTTTAATGAAGCCGCCGTCAGGCAGCATTTGAGGCGGCCACTCATGGTTGTCTGGCGAGTAACGGTGCCAAGTCCATGGGTCTACATTTCTATATATCCACGCACCGGCGTCTGAAAGGCCGAAACGAATGACTTAAGCGACAAACTTGATGAGCTTAGCCAGTGCGTACGATTACCTAAGTTTTTTAGATTTGCCTCTTATACTAATTAACCCTTAGAACGTCCTAGAGAAAATAGGGCCGAAAATGTCACTTTCAACTTTCGCTACCAGTTTTCCCTGCCGCCACCAAATCAAACTTGACCCAATTCTCCGGGGAAACACCCACACAGCGTTTTTCAAGAGACGCGTTCTCTATAATTAAAAAGCAAGCAAACGAAACGAAATGAAATGTTAGCTTCAAAGTCCACTTGATTTGGGATCCACGCACTTGATTGGCAGTGCCACACTGAAAGAGAGAACTGGGCCCAGTCTGTTTAGGCGTTAATTGCGGGTTCTGGCAAATTACAGACTTTGGCCAACAGACCAGAAACATGAAATGCACTTTCTCTTTGCCCCAGCGAAAAGTGAGTGAGTTAAAATGGATTGTTTTCCAAGACTGGATTGGATTGAATTGGATTCGATTGGGGACTTCAGTCTTGAGACTTGAAGACTTGCGATGTGCGAGGGCGTAATGCCAAAATCGATGGCAGCTGCTGCTTACCTTTTGTTTAGTCTTCTAATTGCTCCCGAAGATCGCCGATCACATTACCAACTGCAAAAAAGAGAGGAAAACACATGAGTAAGCAAAAGAGAAATGCAAATTAGTTTATGAAAATACTTAAGCAGACAATGAACTCCTCGGTTCGATTCCTTTTATGGACTCCCAACTCTTGAAAAATCTCGAAAACTACCTTTGCCGTCAGCTACAAATTGACATTGTTTCTGTGTTTACTTTGAAGTCGCACACATTCATTGGCATTGGGTGGTAACAACATGTGTTACCCAGTTGTTCTGTAAGTGACTTTGATTTCGATTTGATTTATTGCCTGCAATTGTCGCTTACAAAGAGCAGAAAAGTGAAAACTTTTCGCTTCGGTTTTGTGTTCACTTTTGCTTTCGAAACTTTCAATTTGGTGACTTAATTTCTGTACAGCCAGCCACAGGGCTAATGAAATCGAACTGCCGCTTAACAATGGCAATAGCCGTGCTTTTATTGTCAAAATAAAGCTTTGCCAAAGAAATTATCAAGTGCAGTTTGCGGCTGTGGCACTTTTACTTTCAGTGTCGTGGAAGTGCTAACAAACGAACAACGAACCCAAAACAATTTTCACTTGAGTGAGTAATGCCCATTTTCCTTTTAGCATCGGCTAATGAGCCGAAAAACGCTTTACAAACCGATTTGAAAGGGTCGCCAGTCAGTCACAGCGTAAATTACCAAACAATTTCAATGTCTTTGAATGCGATGTGAAGTTGATTTTTATGGGAAAATCTCTTGCCTCAAAAAAATGAAATGAATTTCACACAAAGTGTGAACAAAATACTTTATGTAAGTTAAGTTTACCGCCTGAAAACAATGCCGAAATGCTTGTCAAACTAAAACAAATGCTTTGTCTTTAAGGGGCTAAATCAAAGGCCATAAATGTCAGCTTAAGTCTTAGGAAACGAAATGAATACAGTACGTTTCATAACATATAAAATATTCTTTTAATATTCTAATTCTTTGGTTACAGCCTTCTCAGATATGTTAATCTATTCCCGAATTTGTTTACAAATTTCCAATCATAAAACTAAACGATCGTAAAATGATACCATAAAAATCTATACCATTGTGCGATGTCAGCAAAACTTTTGAAAGAAGTTTATAGAGTTGGTTGTTGGCCAAACAACACTTTTATACACATTTTGTTGCCCACTGAATTCTTAGCATTATTACGGTTTATGTGCATTATTAGTACCAATTTGCAGGCTTGCTTTTTCAGCACTCTAATTTATATAATAAATTCTTGCAGCGTTTTGTAACCATCTAATTGAAGTGAGAATTTTGTTATAAAACTCACTGATGTATGACATATTAGGCATAATGAAATTACTCTATGCAAGAATTCCCACAACTTCTGGGCAATGTCTGACAATGAGTGCTCCCAGCCGAGAAGACAAGGGCATAAATTGCAGTTGCTGGCCAGTTTTTGGTTCACTCTACCGTGGCGGCAACGGGGGCGTGGTTGCAATGGCAACTGCAACGAGTTTTGCATGCAAAGCATGGAATTATCTGCAGTTGATCTCGAGCAAGGGGCAGCCTGGACCTGGACATGTTTGCTACTCGAATTAAATAAAAACATGAAAAAAAGCACAGAGCCAACAATAGGAGAGGCAAACAAACGTATCAATTAGCAGGAGTCAAATACCCAAAGTAAAAAAATGAAAAAAAACAAGCTGCCCAAGAAACTGGGTATGTTTCGGGTATGGGATAAATATTGGAATAAAGTTGTACACATTTTATAGATTGTGAAAAATGTACGTTGTAAGTAATATATGAACCTATTTTGTGATAATGCTAGTAAAGATGTACATATCTAGGCTATGGCATATTAAGCTAAAAGAGTCATCTTAAACTCAGTATCTAAATTGGAGTTCTTACAAAAACATTATTTCTAAATTCATTCGCAAAATCTCTTTGTAAGAAGGTTTTTTAGCTGATAAAATACTTGGAAATTCTTTTATAATTTTTCAGAAAAAACTCTAAAACAAAGTTTCGAAAAATCACTCATATTTCCCTTCAAATATTTTATTTCCTAATAATTTCGTCAAACAATCGCGATCACAATGAAAATATTCAAGAAACGGCAGAAGAAGGTCAAGTCCTTCTTCCGAAGCGAGGATATGGAGCTGTGCCAACTACTGCTGCACACGGAGAACGCTTTCGACTGCCTGGTGGAGTTGGGTCACCATGGAACAGTTCAGTTCAACAATGTCTACGATGAGGATCGAATGCTGAACAACCTTTACTCGAAGAAGGCTGCGCATTGCTATGAACTGTTGCGGATTGTTGAGAGTCTGCACGCTCAGATCATCCAGTTGCATGTGAACGAGGTGTTCTATCCGGATGTGGATCAGGAGAATCGTGTGAGGGAGAAGGATCTGCCCAAGTACGCCGATAGGTTGAAACGTCTGCATGTCGAGGCCACTGCCGTAACGGAGCACTATTACCGACTGGACAACCGGCGGAATCGGATGATGGAGCATAGCTACGCTATAACCAGGGCTAACAAGTACATGACCGCGGATATGGGCAGTGAACTACTGTACTCGGAGAGCACTCTGATGGGTCTGGTGCACGACGCCACCATTACCTCGGGAGGCCACCAATCGCAGCTGCACTATATGATTGGTAGTATTCGGGCCGACAAGTTCTATAGCTTTGAGCTGTTGCTCTACCGACTGTGTTCCTTCAATCTGATCATTCGCTTTTCCGAAATGCCCACTCCGGTCTTTGAGTACCATCATGGTCAGAAGCCGGAGAGGGTGCGTAAGTTTGTGATCCTTATGATGACCAGTTCCACGATGATCTGGCCCAAGGTTTTGAAGATCTGCAGTCACTATCATGTTCACATCTTCGATTGCCCAAGATCGGCCAGCCAGCGGCAGGAGAAGGTCAGAGAACTGAGCCAGGAGATATTAAACGCAGAGAAGGTCCTTAAAGAAGCCGAACACATGCGTCGCCAGATCTTGGTGGTAGCTGGGCAGGATCTGTTCATTGTCAGGGTGAATCTACGCAAGGCACTTAAGGTATACGATCTCATGAATCGCCTGAGATTGGTGGGCGGAATAGAGGTGCCCAAATACCTATTGGCCGAGGTGTATATACCAACTTCCGATGTCCCGGAAGTTAGGTCAACTCTCTCGAAATGCCTCGAGATTAAGTGGGGGAGCAGATGCCGAAAACAAAAAGGAAAACGAACAGGGAAACGTGGAAGAGGAGGAAAACGATCGGTTTGAGACCAAACCAAAGGAAGAGACACGTACATCAGATTTCCTGCCTGGCGACGATATGGCTTCCCGAGCCATTTTGTTAAAGAAAAACCGATTTGTTAATCACATGCCACCAACGTACTTTCGGCTGAATAAGTTCACCCGGGGATTCCAGAACCTGATAGACGCCTATGGAATGGCTGACTACAAGGAGCTGAATCCCGCTCCGTATACCATCATCACCTTCCCCTTTCTCTTCGCCGTGATGTTCGGTGACTTGGGACATGGACTGCTGATCATTTTGTTTGCCATACTCATGATTTGGAAGCGCAAGCAGATCGAGAAGTTTCAGATTGCCTCGACCTCGGAGAACGAGATTTTGAATATCCTCTTCGCAGGTCGCTATATAATCCTACTGATGGGCATTTTCTCCGCCTACATGGGCATCATCTACAACATAGTCATGTCCAAGGGGGTGAATCTGTTTGGTTCAAGCTGGAGTTGTCGCTATAATGCGGCTACTGTGGAAGGCATCGTGACCAAATTGACTTTTGACGCTTCGAATCCGAACTTTTACTCGGGCGATCCGTATCCCATAGGTTTGGATCCAATATGGTCCGTTTGCGGTCAGGACTCAATAACCACCACTAACTCCTTGAAAATGAAGTTGGCAATCGTCCTGGGCATTTCGCAGATGATGTTTGGACTTGGTCTGGCGGCAGCTAATTGTATATTGCTAAAAAGGAAGGCGGATCTCATTTTAGTGGTGATTCCGCAGTGCATTTTTATGTTGAGTCTCTTTGGCTACCTCGTCTTCCTGATCTTCTACAAGTGGCTGTTCTACGGTGGCCATAAGCCGTCGCCATACAACTCGGCGTGTGCTCCCAATGTCCTGATTACCTTCATCAACATGATGCTATTGAAGGATGAAGAGAATGAGGAGTATTGCTTGAGTGACATGTATCCCAACGAACGATTCGTTGAGTACTTCCTGGTATTCTTAGCCCTCTGCATGATTCCCATTTTATTGGCCGGCAAGCCGCTATATCTCCTCCGCCGCCGAAGACAAATAAAAAAGGAGCGGGAGATAAGGGAATCAAAGCCGCGCCGGCAGACTATCAGGGAAATGCGATCCACGATGCGGTATACCGAGGATGATATCAGTGAGTCTAGCAAGAACAGGAGTATGGACAACGACGAGGAGTTCGAGATGTCGGAGATTTGGATACACTCGGGCATCCACACCATTGAAACGGTCCTGGGATCGGTATCACATACAGCCTCCTATTTGCGTCTCTGGGCTCTGTCCTTGGCCCACGACCAGTTGTCTGATGTCCTGTGGCAGATGGTCCTTAACAAGGGATTACAAAATACCCTGCCATTGTACTATTCCGTGCCTGTTCTCATGGCAGCCTTTTTCGCCTGGGCCATCCTTACTGTGGCCATTCTGGTGATGATGGAGGGTCTCAGTGCCTTCCTGCACACCCTGCGCCTTCACTGGGTGGAGTTCCAATCGAAATTCTTCGGCGGAACGGGCGAATCCTTCAAGGCGTTTAATTTTCCGCCTTCCAATCAGAGGAGTTAGTTTTTGTTTTCCAGCTTCCAGTTTCCAAATAAAAATTTATTGTTGCTGAATTTACGTACTTTTTGAATCTAAATCTATTTTATTACTTACCATATTTGTAGTATTTTTTAAATAAAAAACAAATTTGTAAAACAGAATTTAAATTAGATGCATTAACTGAAGATTTTTATGTAGGCTTTCTTGCCGGGCTGCTGTTGTACTGCTACCATAAACTTATATATTTTGGATGAACCTTCCTTGTTGGCTTCCCCTATCTTTTGGCAATTAACTGTGGCCAAGAGCTGGCCAAGAGCTACCCACGCCCGCTGCTGCGGACTTGGACATTCCTTTGCAATTAGCATTGGCCCGGCTCCATGCAAAAGGCCATAAACCAAAGCTGGCTTTAAACAATTTCCATTTGTTTGCTTTATGCCATTGCCAGCTGCTGTTGCTGTAGCAGTTGCTGCTGCTGCTGCTGCTGTTGCTGTTGCAGTTACGACTGTTGCCGTGGCAGGCTTCCTTCCTGCGATGCGGGCGCTGGAAGTCGTCGACCCTTTGGAGCTGTTCTTGTGCCAGCATAGCTGCTGTTCTATTCTACTCCGCTTTTTCTCGTCCTATACCCTGTTTTTCCTATAGCACAAGGGTATATGTTTTAGTGGGACTTGTATTGGGGGAATTGCATGGCCATAAATGTTAAGGAAATAAAAACTGGTTGCAAGTCTTTTATGATATCCTGCAGACTCAGATTGATTTGATTTCAATTCCAGGTTCTTTCGGTCATAAAAATGGGGATAACTTTAATAAGTTCATTTTTTAGGTTTGCATTTTAAAAGGGCTTTCAAAATTCGGTTTTAAAATAGTTTGTACTTTATATTATGTGAATAATTTTTGAAGAAACCAAAATGATATCGCCAGAATTTATTCTGGAAAAGTAGTCTCTTGAAAATCTCTATCGAATCACATCCAATGTACTATATTGCTGGGTAATTCCTTGTCGTGTAACTTTACTGCATTGTTATACTGCCAGTTTTCCACACACTCACACAGCTGAGTATTTTTGTGTCTTTGCTGCTGCTGCTGCTGCTGATGTTGTTGCCGCTCTGTTTGCCATTAACACCCACGCCAGCAACTTGGGTTGCTGTTGGCTGGTTGCTGTTGCTGGTTGGGCCAAGACTTGGCATAAATTATGAACAGCAACCGATGACGCATGCAGGCCGACCTAAGTAGACTGGCTCGTGCATAAATAACTTTCGTTAGCCACTAGCCACATGGCCCGGGTTGACTTGGCCTGGCTGGCTTTATTAGATCGCTGCCTCGGAAAGCAGAACTAACTCGATGCCAGTAATGTGCAGTAAGTTTCATGACCAGAGCAGGTTTTTGGCCAGCCAGCAGTCAGAGCACTCTACGCAATTGCCAGCCCAAAACAGGCTTTGACTCTTTGGCTTTGGCTATAACTTTAAACCGCAGCACGCGCCATTGTTTAGGTGGTGCAGCAAAAAGCAACGAAAAACACAGAAAAAACTAGTAAAAAACTAGCAAAAAGCTACAAAAAGCAGCAGCAGCAGCTCGGGTGGGTCAAGTTTGTTGCCCAAGTCTTTTGTTTATACTTTCGTTGATGCGGACGCTGTGCGTCGCTCTAATGCTGGGCCCAATGGCCAACTGCTTAGCACTTTTATGGCCAACAATTGTCAACTCTCAAAGGGGCCACAGATTGCATCCACAATGGCTTAGGACGGGTGCACAGTGAAAAAAGTGCATCGCTAATGATGATAAGCTAAGGCTAGGTTTAAAAGCTAAAGAAGTTTGTGTTAAAATCATTGTAAGCCAACCATGAAAATTAGAAATTTTGGAAAATATATGATTACAATGACCTTTTATTAAGATGATTCTTCATACTATTAAGATTTAAGGAAGTTGAACAATCAAGAGAAGGAAGTCTTTTTTATGGAAAATAAACATGAAAACAATATTAGAATAGGACTCTCAATACTTTGTGTTAACTTTCCTACAACCTTAGGGTAAGGATCTGTATTTAATGATCATTTCCTATCTTAGAAATTTCTCTCTGTGTGCACTGGAAGAAAAGCAAGGTCGCATTGTTGTCTGGGGAGAATCAATTTGAGACTTAAATGCGGATGGTTGTCCGTTTTCTGCTCGTCAGTCGCATCACGTCACGTCACGTTCTGCGACTCATGCTCTTGGGTCGTCAGTTTTTTGAGTGCATTGCCGCTGTCCTTTAAAGGGTTTTGCCCATGGATGTTGCTGCTGCTGTTGCTTCTCCCATGCTGCTGTGTTGTCATTGTTGCGGCAGCTGCAACAGCAAAACAGAACAACCATTGTTGGCACTGCGACTCCGTCTAGTTCTGCTTTTGGGCCTTTACATGCGCGGCCGTAACAAAAAAGGTGTTAAATTCAGCCCATGGCTTGGCCAAAGCGAACTGCAGGCCAAAAGCCAGATCCAAAGCCAAAGTCAATGCACTCTCAGGAATTCACTGGATCGGCAGAAGGACATTTCCAGCTCCAAACTTGGTTAGTGAAGCACCTCAAGTGCTTAAACACAAACTTGGGAGAGCAGAAAAGCAGAAGGCAAAAATAAAACACAAAAAGAAAACATTCAAATGAAGTCAGCATGATGAAAACATCAAGAGAAAACAATAACATGCAGATCTTATTGTAAACATCTGTGAACTATTAAGGCAATTAATTAACTGGCTACACAATTTGTTGGCTTTGCACATTTTGGCCATTTTGCTTGTCGGTCTGTCAAGTGGAAAAATGACATTTAATTCGCCACAAATTGTGCATTGTTTTTGGGCCTTAATTAAAATTGTCTTTTGTTCATTTTCATCTTCTTTTGCCTTTTCGACGTCTCTTTTGCCCAGAACGGAAGCTGACAATTGGCCATTAAAGAAGCAGCAAAAAACAACAGCAAGATCTGCTAATGCGAAGGGGAAAAACTTTCACTCAGCCGAAATGTTTTAATTAAAATTGGCAACGCAAAATAAAAAACAAACAAAAAGAAATTAATTTAAACTAGATATTGTGTGTGTAACCGGTTGGGAGTTTGCATTCGCAATGCTCAGCTGGAAAAGTGAAATTTCTCAGACGCTCTTTGAGAACCCAATTTTGGCATTTAGCAGTTCATTAGCAAGTTAGCTACAAAATATGCATAAAATTAATCAGATTGTACCAAATACGGGCAACAACAGCGGAAAGTGAAAGAATGTAAAGATAAAAACACGCTTAAGCTGCCCATAAATATAAAATGAAATTTGGGAATATAAATAAGATTTACAGCAAAGTTTTAAGAGGAGACTTTTCTTTTATATTTCAAGTAATAAAGTATTTAAGATGCACAGGTTTTTAAATATTATTAAACATGTTTTTTCTATATTTCTTCATCTTTGCATTATTTTTCTATATTTTTGAAAGTTAATAAGACACATCAAAATTATAACCACCGATAAAGTCAGGCCTTGTTTATGACTTCTACAATTATGCAAGATTAAAAATGAATAAGAAAATGTTAAAGAAACACTGCCACTGGTCTTTAAGCAAGTGGATCTAAGCCTAAGTGGATCACACGCTTAACAATTCCCGTTGGGAAATATAAATTGAGTTAAATGTTTTGTTTTTGTGTCACCACCGAGATAAGAATCCAAAATTAGTTAGCCCAAAATGATAAAGCTCCGCGGAAAAGCCATGTGACCCTCATTAAAAGCAACTTTCATGTATTTATTCCTTTGATCTTGGCAGCGGCGAGCACACAAACACTCCCGAGAACGTTTTTGATTATTTTCACAAGCGGTTTCTCTCTCTGCCATTTCAGCCTTTTGTCTTGGCCCAAGTCATGCATAATGAGAACCTGATATATATACTATATATATATACCCGTATATATGTCAATTACAGCACGATCTTTTGGCAAATTCGCGACAGCGGCAGCAGCAGCAGCAACAGCCACCGTTGGCAGTCAGTCGCCTGACACATTTCCAGTGGGTCAGAAGTCTGATACCGATATTTATGTCACCGGCGACAATAAATTTGTCAGCTTTTTGTTAACCGTTAAGTAAACGCAATGCATGATTTGTGTTTTGTAATGAGGGCGAATGAGCGAGCCGGCGCGAAAAATGTCGAACGAATCCGTTGACGAAGATGAAGTTGAAGTTGAAGTTGAAGTCGCAATGGAGTCGAAGTGGCGAATGGAACGGGTTTGGGTTCAGTTCATAAAATATTCATGATATGCCAAATGTTTTGTTTTATTTGACTTTTTGATTGTTTTTTGTATTGTTTTGCTTTTTTCACTTCTTTCCTTCTTTTTTTGGCAAGCCAAATTGCTTAATATTGAGTCATGGAATTGCGTTGGGACATCAATATTCAATAGGCAGAATAATTTGCAATGCTCGGAGACAGTTGAATATTTCCATATTTTGTTGAGTTTCGGTAAATTGCTCTTAAAGTTATTTTTATTTAAGCGATTTATGAGAAAGAAAAGATAAGAATGAAGCAAATTTCATATTTAAAAGCCTTTGTTTTATTTATAAGAAAAGTAGTAGTAGTTGTGTATCTTTCATTTTAAAAAGTAGTCACCACAAATGTTGTAATGCTTCTTGGCCATCATTATTAACCAACAAAAATTATAAAAACAAACAATGTGAAGTGTGACCACAAATGCGGCATTGACCATTCAAGTGCTCAAATTTGATGGCTCTCAACACATTGTTTCGATCACTTTTGGGATGCAATGGCAGCAGTAACAGCAACGGCAACATCAACAGCATCAATATTAAAAGCAACAATGGGAGCAATACCAATAGCAACACCAATTGCCTGACCTTCAGTGGGCCACTTGAGGCAGCCTCAACGGCCGCACAGCTTCTGCAGCAACAACAACAACAACTCGAACACGAAGTTCGCTGGCTGTCAGCTATTTGAGTGACTGACATGCAACACTAGCAACAGCAACAGCAACAGCAGCAGCAGCAACAATGCACAATAGCGTGCCACAGACAGCCGAAAACACCAATTGGTGTCAAAGCAACAAAATGCTACCGAATTGCAACTGCCACAGCCAAGGGAATTTCACGCTGCCGAAATTAGCAATAAATCAAAGATTGCGAATCCGGAACGCGGCTAACTAATTTCACTAAAGGGAAACGCGCTGCATGGAGAAAAAATTAACTGAAGTTTTGAATTTGGAAAACTATTTTTTTCAAATCTTCTTTCTAAATTTATAAATCAGATTTAAAGAAGGTTTTAAATTTTGTGATCTTTTTGTGATTTTTACGAACTCAAATATTAAATGAAACATTTGAAATATCATATGAATTTTTCTCTCTGCACTTGAGCACTTTGCAACCGTTTTGGGCTGCCGAAAAACGCTCAGCGAAGGCAGCGAAAAGCACTTGGAGCCGTAGTCGAGCTGCCCACGCCTCTTGAGAGAGCAACAGCAGCCCGCCAGTCACATAAATAAGTCACCATCAGAGTCAGATTCAGATTTAGATTGAGAATGAGCGACGCTGACGCCGAGCGCACACTTGGCCATAAATCTCAACAGAAGCGTGGGCAGGTCGAAACACCCTGCCCCCTTCTTATCTTCTACAAGCCTAGAACCGAAAAAGACGTCAGCGGCAAATGGGGCCACGCCTCATCGAGCTTGTTGGCCAAAAAGGCCACAGAGAGTGAGAGGTGGCATGAAGTGCGTATTAAACACTCTGCCAGAGCCATAATCAAGCTAATGCCATCTTATGACTCAACTTGAAAGCATCTCATCTCATCTCCTTAGCGGCCTTAATGGCAATAAAACGAAAAGTGAGCGCTGCAATATTAGTTGTTGTTGCTTGTTGATAATCTGTTTATGGTCAACAGAACTAGGCCTCATTACCATACGAGCCACTGAGCTGGCTGTCACAAAAACATAAATAAGCCAGAAAGTTGCCGTTAGGCCAACGCACTTAGCACCAACCAAAATGGAGATGGAACGAGTGGATTCCCCTCAATTGACACATTTGGCACAGCGTTGGCTCTCTTTTGATTTGCATTTATTTTTAATAAATTGCAAGAAAATCGCATGGCTCTTGCTCTCGAACCCATGCCAAATGGGAAAAGCCATTAAATTTCAAAACTGGTTCATAGTTTTTGTAAATAAATAAGATTTACTTATCATATTACTGCTGGCATGTTCCGACTTTTATGAGCTATATTTTCTATAAATTCATTTACTAAGCTGGTTTTCTTGTCTTAACTTGTTAAGTCTACTAATTTTTTAGAAGAGGAAGGAGCTTATTAATCTTTAACTACACTCTTTCTTGCTTAATTTGTGCGATAAGTTTCATAGGTAACCACATTTCGTTCAAAAAATATATTAAAATAAGCACACAAATATTATTATTTAACTTTAAAGTACAACTCACCGAAACACACACGTTGATTTGCGGCAAAACCAATTCAGTAGCTTTTCTGTAACGAGCAAATGAGGTAAAATATATTTTTTAGTCATTTTCCAAGCGTTAAATCAAAATTCCAACTAAAACTTAAACTTTATGAGACATAAATTGGCTGAGGAGAACGCAAAAATGTAAACATAAATTGATTTATTCACTAAGTCACGTCGCAGATTTGACTTAAATTATCACTTGAATCTGATGTACGAGCTGTTACTGGCGAACACTTTCTATGACAAATTCGAGGTACTCATACAGACGTGTGCATATGGCAACAATAACCAGAACATGCACTGTGGCTAGCTTGTTAACTCATCCAAAAAGTAAACCACATTCTTGAGAGCATTAGAAAAAAAAGTTGGGGAAAAAAACTACAAGCCAAACAAAAAGATAGAGCCATGAATAGCAAGAGCACAAAAAACATGTTCAGCGCGTGTAGCAGCAGCAGCAGCAGCAACATCAACTTAAATAGCAACAACTGGGGGGCGTTGGGCATTTGGGCGTGGCCCGAGTGCAAAATGCAAAACAACATTGAAGACGAGAAAATCTGGCTACTGTAATTTGTCTGCCCACCAAAGACACGACCCCTTCTTCTTCCACATCTCCAAGCCCCTAAACTTGGCTGCAATATGTTCGTTCGTTCGTTCGTTCGTTCGCTGGTTTGTTGATCGCGTTTGGCCAGCCGGTTGTTGTTACTGCTGCTAGTTGGTCCGGGCCAGTTTGCAATTGCTGCTCTACTTTTGAGTGTGTGCCCCGCTTAGCCCCTTCTGCTACCAGTGCCCCTGGGCAGTCAACACCCCCCTTTCTGGCCTCTTCTACCCACTTTTTGGCCAAGTTGTATTTGCTTCCTAAAGTTGCCGGCGTCGTTGGCCGCCTTTTGTCGCTGAGGTCAATTTTTATGTTGCAGCCATTTTTCAGAGACATAGCTACGAAAAAACTAAATAGAAAAATTCGTTTTCATGCACTGAGAAAATTAAATATATGTTTTTGTAATCTTAACTTCTTGGAAACTATTGAAATCGGAAATATATTATATCTTTAATTTGGTTTCTATTCTATTCGTTATATTTCTGTATGAAACATCTTAACATCTTCTTAATATTGACCTACTGTTACCAGTTTTAATCTCTTAGCAGAATATTTATAAACCTTATCCAGGGTCTTTTAAATTAAATTAGCTCTTGATAGTCTAAAATTCTTCTCTCAGTCTACCATCTTTGACTCGGTTTTCTTCCATACACATTTTTAATAACTTACGGCCTTTTTATACCCTTTTTTACGCCCTTACGGAATCAGTATCTGCTGACCAGTTTATGGCAACGTTTTTATGTGCCCCATATTCCTATGATGTTTATGATGCCTCGGGGTGAGTTTTGATTTTCATTTAGTTATCTTTTTCAACAACTTGATACATTTGCAAACGATTTAAGCAAATGGTGTAGGCCAATTTGGCACTCATTTTATTTTTACAGGGTACTCAAGCCTCTGTATTCCATAGATGAAACCTCCTTTGCTTCTTCCACTTCTACTTCTATTACATTTTTTGTTATTTTTTTTGGTTTTGTAAATTTTTCATGTTGTCTGCTGCACTTAAAGTTACGTATGAGCATTTTGTGTAGGTCTAGTTTGGTGTTTTTTATTTTCTATATTGCAACTGGCTTTGTTGCAGACAAACTTTTTCAACTTGACACTTGAACTGAGAGAGAACTCTAGCCGAATGAACCACTCGACTACAAGAGCAGCCTCAATGGCTTGACACTTTCAGTTGGTAATTAGTTTTGCGGCCATGCATGTAAAATGCAATTTTGCACTAAGGACTCGAAGGGGATGATGCTCAGAGTGCAAGAAATAAATAGCAATTTTTAAACTTAACTTTAATGATGAATTTCGGTGAGATAATCGATAGAGTAACATAGCATTGAATAAAGTTTTTGGGCCTTTGTTTACGCGCAACCTTGAACTGTTGTTGCAAGTTGCTGCCACTGGGATTGCAACTCAGTCTGAAGTGACTGGCGAATGATTGGGGCAGACTTTCGAGTGTCTGTCAATCAAGTCGAATCCGAATTAAATCATTGACAAATAACAATAATCAGTAACAAGGCTGCTGCTGTATTTTCTTTATTGTTGCATGCGGCATGCAATGTTGCCGCCGCTGCTGCTGCTGCTGCTGCTGCTGCTACTACTACTACCGCCCTGCAGCAATGAAAAGTGAAAATTCTTGGCTGGCTGTTGAAAAGTTTTTGGCCCACCAGCGGGGATTTCTACATGTTTTCCAAACAAATATGAAGAGCCGCCCTTTCTCCTTTTGTTGATTGCAAACTGTGCCGTCGTCATGTGCCACATTTGCAGTAAGCTGAAAGTAAAAATAAAGCCCAGTGAACTGAAACTGAAACTGAGCATGCAGCATAAATATGTGAATAATGCATAAACAACTAGAACAGCGGCAACTGTTGCTGTGTTGCTGTATTGCTGTTGCATGTTCAGAAGGCAACTAAAAACAACAAAAAGAAATATCTCAACAAAAAACGAAATGGCTCAACTGCAAAAATAAATATGAACATTTACTGGGAAAAGTTGATGCACAGGTAATTAGAGCCAGCAGTTTTTGTTTGCCGCTGCTCATGTTGAATGCCACTGCAGCTGCGTTCTTTTTACCCCAAATATATACGAGAAGATATATAAAACAGGCTAGTCCAGACTTCGTTGCTACTTTAATTAAATTCCCCAATTCCTGTGTACTACAGACGAGAGGGGGGGTTCAGCGGATTCTTTGCGGCAAACAGTTTTCAAATGCTCTTTGTGGCCAAGTCTGAATTCATAACATGAAAGGAAGCCGGCAAAGTTGTAAACTTCAAAAAAAGCAAATAAGGCCAATCAAACGAATGGCAAATACTCTTGAAACATTGGCAAGACTGAGGCTGCTTTGACGAGTTTGAAAGAAACTTTATAATTCTAAATTGGAGATATTTTATAACAAGAAATGATTTTTTATAAGAAGGTTCTTATTTTTCTATCACTTTTAAAGGTTTAATCCCCAGCCTCTTCCATCTCTAACCTATATACCTCAATAACGAAAAGGCAGCCACAAGCTCAGGTTATAGGGCATTGGCAAAGAGAGAAAGAATATCGGGGAAAAGCTGGAATTTTCACAGTTGCAACCCAAAGTTCATCAAAACAGCATAACTGCAGTTGCAGTTGCAGTTGCTATTGCTGTTGCTGTTTTGCGCACTCAAAGGCAAAGACCAGAGCCACCCACTCGGCGTTGAAGCGGGTAAATAGGCCAACGCGAAGGGGGTTACTGCAACATGGGGCGTGGGGCCAGAAACGAAGGGGAGGCAAAAACTGTGCCCAAGGGGCTCTTGGCTAACAATGCATATGACAAACTTTTGTCAATTTATTAAGAAGCGAAGAAATATGGTTTCTCTCTGCTAGCCAGGCTAACCTGATTCCCAGGAGAAGACGAAGCTGAACGTGGTCAGCTGGAGGAAGAGTTTCCTGCTGGATGCACTCATGGCAGCCCCTTACGAAAACCCCTCATGGACCTCCCTCATGTAACCACTGATACTCATCATCATCAGCATCAGCAGCAGCAGGAGCAGGAGCAGCAGCGGCAGCAGCAGTTGGTGCAACAGCAGCCAAGACGCAGTTCAAACAACTTTCGTTCGCATAAATTGATGATAACAAAGGCCGGGAATCAGAGTTGGCCACCAAAACTGGTTGCAATGGACGTTTAGTACAGTGACAAAAATAATAAAATATATTTTTTAAAATAAGTACTTAATAATGAAGGAAAATAAATGTAAATTAAAATTCAGTTTGCTTCTTTTTCACAGCTTTCTTCCACATAAATCCAATTTTTCATTTTCAATTTTCTTTATTTTCATTACTAATATATTTTTCTAGTGTTTTCTTTCAGCGGCAGTTATGAATTATGTCAAATGGCATAATTGCCAGTCCAGCTTCAGCAGCTGGAGCAGCAGTCGTCGGCGGTTTTGAGTTTTCGGCTCGAGTTTGAGTTTGAGTTCGAGTTCAAGTCGGAGTTTGGGGTTTTGGCATCGCGCGCTGGCAGGAAGCAATAAATTCTATGCATTGCACTCGATACAATTTGTAGCTGATAGGATGGAATGAGGGTAGTTGGGGGATAGGATCCCAGCAATAGATCCCCGACAGATGCCCGTAGATAGATGGCTGGCACAGATGCGGAAATGCGAGGAGCCAGGAGCCGATGGAAAAGCTAATGAACGTGGCTCGCTGCCTTAACGGTTCTGGTTAAATTGTTGGTAATTTGCTTTTTCAGCATGCCGCAACTCTCAGTCGATCATCAATTTATGCATTTATCTAAATACAGTTATGGCACGCATCTTACTAGCTACTCTACATACATATAGTTACGATATACTATATAGTATATATGGAGTATATACCCCTTGTTTATCCAACTTTCCCTTGCTCGCTGGAGCTTTGCAAGCAGATTTGTACTCTAATTATCAGGCCTCATGAGCTTCAGCTGCTGTTCATGGCTGCCTTCATCTTGGCTAAGATTTCACACTAGCGCAGATGAGGGTCGCCCGCCCATACGCCACCTCCCCCCTAGTTCGTCATGCACTTGAATCCGAATCTGAGAACTCGACTGGTGAAAAGTGAAACCGAAAAAGGGAAAACTCTCGGCGGGAAACATGAGAACCCCCCGAAGACTTTTACCCTTTTAACAACAAAAACAAAGATGCAAGATGGCCAAGAGAGGTGGTGTTGTATGTGTGTGTGTGTGTTTGTTTGTTTGTAACTCATATTGAGGTTATTAGTAACAAGGCCACTGCAGCCCACAAAAAAAAAAGTGGGTGGGTGGTGAGGTAGGAAGTTGAGCTTGCCGCATGCACTTTGGCTCACAAAATGATAATTTATGTCGGCAATATTTGAATACAATTGAAGTTGCCAGCCAGCTGGCATAAGCAAAATTTCAAATTTTCAATTTCCCTTTTACAGAGAGAACGGCCGAGCAACAGCAAAACAATGAGC